TAGGATTTGGGGAGAGGGAAAGAGAGAGGAGAGGTAAGAGTAGAAGACATTGAGAAAATGGTGGAGGAGTTATTTTGGTTTCAAAAGCCATATCACTTTGCGCGACGAAATAATATATTGGTCGCACAAAGTCTCGAAAAAATTTTAAAAAAAAATTTCCCATTTTTGGTGCGCGCCCAAATTTTTAGGGTTTTGCGCGACGAATTTTTGGTCGCTCAACGTTTTGCGCGACCAAAATATTCCCGCGTCCCATTTTTGGTGCCCGCCCAAAATTTTAGAGTATACTTTGCGAGACGAAACCTTATATATTGGTCGCGCAAAGTCGTATTTTTTTTATAAAAAATTTCCCATTTTTGGTACCCGCCCAAATTTTAGAGTATACTTTGCGCGACGAAACCTTATATTGGTCGCGCAAAGTCGTAATTTTTTTTTTTTAAATTTCCCATTTTTGGTACCCGCCCAAATTTTTAGAGTATACTTTGCGCGACGAAACCTTATATATTGGTCGCGCAAAGTCGTATTTTTTGTTATATTTAAATTTCCCATTTTTGGTACCCGCCCAAATTTTTAGAGTATACTTTGCGCGACGAAACCTTATATTGGTCCTGCAAAGTCGTAATTTTTTTTTTTTAATTTCCCATTTTTGGTACCCGCCCAAATTTTTAGAGTATACTTTGCGCGACGAAACCTTATATATTGGTCGCGCAAAGTCGTAATTTTTTATATATTTAAATTTCCCATTTTTGGTACCCGCCCAAATTTTTAGAGTATACTTTGCGTGACGAAACACTATATATTGGTCGCGCAAAGTTGTAATTTTTTTAAAAAAAATTCTCACTTTTTTGTAGCCGCCCAAATTTTTAGAGTATACTTTGCGCGACGAAATACTATATATTGGTCGCGCAAAGTCGTATTTTTTTTATAAAAAATTTCCCATTTTTGGTACCCGCCCAAATTTTTAGAGTATACTTTGCGCGACGAAACCTTATATATTGGTCGCGCAAAGTCGTA